GGCTCGCTATCCCCTCAAAAAAAGATGTTCCAGGAATGCTTCTAGTCAGTGAAAATGACGTTTTCATTAAGTTTGTGGCTTCAGAAGGGGACTACTTCGAACGACATTAAATTCTGAATTGGTAATTTTTGATCAGACCTCGTATGAGAATATTTATAACACACAGCCGTTCATCACTCTTTTTTTTTTTATTGTAACAGGAAAAATAAGTTTTTGGAAGCATTGCTTCCTAATCTGCTCAGTGGCTTTTATGGATCCCACCCCAGATTTTAGTCCCATCGTAATGATGTATCTGCTTTTTTATTGTGACTTTTACATGAGACGTCAGTCAATGATAACATGTCCATAGAGCAGAATTGGAAATATCTGATATCTCTTTGGGATAGGAAACACACATTTCGTTGACCTCAGGCAATACAAGCGGAACGCGTAAGCCTCGAAAAATTGAGGCCATTGGGCCAGAAATATATGGGTACGTAGAAAAATTAAAAGTTAATAGAATTTCTGTCATGTTGCAACTGACAAATGATTAAGGCATCGGCAAATAAACTAATTGGCCCATCAGTCTTTTCATATAAGGAGGTTCTCTAGCAACACAGGAGAATTAAAAACAGACCATTTTCTAATCAAAGGACGGATAAAACTGCTTATAAGATAAACTATCATCTATCACAATTCAGTAATCTAGGTTCCATATATATATATATATATATATATATATATATATATATATATATATATATATATAAATCCTATAAGTATAAGAAACTATACTGCTCGGAAAACCTTTGGTGTATTGATTTGCAAATAAACAAACCAATACCAAAGGGAAAAAGGTATAAAAAAGAAAGAACCAAGAACATGTACGTTAGCCGAAAATAATCGTCCAGCATACGAGTTCAAGCCCCAAAGAAAAAAACACCCGATGCGAGTATCAAAAATAACTAAATAAAGTGCTCAATACCATGAGTAGAGCAGATCTAGTTAAACCTACAGAGCCAGACAAACCTACCAAGGTTTCGCCTAAGCGGGTCGCCAGGGAAGCCAGACTTTCCTGACGATCCTCTTAGGTGAAACCTTGGTAGGTTTTTTTCTGGTTTCTTTATGTTTATACATATATATATATATATATATATATATATATATATATGTAGCCAGTGCGGTGATGTCACAATATTGCAAGAACGAATTGAAGAGTTGCTTTCTGTTATTTATCATTTGACCCCGAGCAAGGCAATAAAGTCTCTAAGGGACAAGGGTTTTGTGAGTTTGAAGGAATATAAGAAAGGGAGAGAACATTATCAGTGAGGAAGAACAATAAAAGAATAGGAAACAACAAGAGAGTCGTTAATGATTGACATTGCATTTAAATTTCTGACGTTCAAAGTTGGCTGGAAAGCACGAGGCCAGAAGAGAATTCAACAAGAAAGAAATGCTATAAAAGAAACTATTAGCATAGATCTTATGGTAACATCTAGTCATTTCAAATGTAAAATTATGAGACCTTGCCGCCAATCAAGTAATGCACTTAAATTCATAAAGCCTCGGTACCATAGAAGAAACTTCCTCAGAATAACCCCCCACCCGCTAGAGAAAAGGCACATTGGAAGCAATATTGCAGAGCCGGAAAAACGACTAAAGCGTAGATACTAAGTTAGGACTAATGCCATTGCTGATTCTTCTTTGAATTTTATCAAGAACCTCTAAATATGTAGAAGGATATTCAGACCATATGTGGTAGCATTATTCAAAACACGGACGAATAGTATACTTAGAAATATGTCAGATAGTTTCTGTAAAGAAAATTGTCTAGCACAACGCAGTGAACCAACTTTCCAAGCAGCAGACCTAGCAACTGACTCCGATTGAATAAACGATCACCTGTCCGTGACCAAAGCGATCTTTCAAGCTGAAGGACATCGGCGGTGCTTTGTCCTATTGATAGACGGTCTATGTCAGTTTTGACTGCCCAAACATGTTATGCACGAATGAATGCCTCCCCGGCTTTCAACGCAGTGCGGAGCTGGAGATGATCACTGCTCAGCTTTGCAGCGATATTTAGACCACTCCATGTCATGGCTGATGATCACATCATAACAGAAAACTATGAATCATATTCAAATATTAAAGAGTAAATGAACAAAACTTAAATTTCAGATGACGCAGTCGAGACGAAAAAGTCTGAAACAAAAATAATGTATCATCGTGCAATGGATCAACCAGAAAAAAACTGCAATTAGTAATATTAAATGTTTTTTCATCTTATCAAAATAAAATAAACATTCAGATTAATGGAAATACTAGTCAGTGATTAATCACAGTTGACAGTGCGTTTTCTAATGAAAACAAATTAAATTGAATTAAAATTAATTTAAATGCTAGTCAGAATTAATAATTATAGTTGACACTGCTTCATCTACGAAATTCCTTTTTAAAATGAAAGTGAAAGTAAAAACATATCAAAATTAAGAATGTTCTGTAATGCTTCATGTAATATAGAAATAAATCTTAAGATGGATGCCATTCATTAAAATTAATAATTATAATAACAATAATGACGATGCCTGCAAATGCTTCATCCATAAATTGTTGTTTTTTTTTAAATGAAAGTGAAAGTAGAAACGTGTCAAGAATAATTAACAGTTTCTTATCATATATATGCTAAGATAAAGTAAATAATAAATAAAATTAAAGATTAATGAAATAATAAATAAAAATCATACTGTTTGACAATGGTGATCTAGTAATTTTTTTTAAATGAAAGTGAAAGTAAAACTTTATAGCAACGGTTGCCAATCCTTCATTCCGTTTAAAACAAAAAGACGAAATTAATTACAAAACGAAATATTAAGTATTTGCACTATTTACACTCGGTCTGTTATCACAAGGTTTCCGCTTTTCTCACGTATATATAAATCTACGGAGAATTCTGAATTCAACACTTTATTCAATCTATGGGGGTATACAGTTCTGGTGCCACTGGTCATGTCAAGAGATATCGTCAAGGTCTTATTTTTATTCAGTGCTGATCAGTTATCCCTCGGCCTTTTCCACTGATTGGAAAGTACATACACCCCACCCTAGGGATTAAACTCACAATCACTATATCACCAAATTTACAAACCACTAGCTCATTTCCCTGCAGTGTACTTGGAGCTTTAAAACTGAACTACATGCTTATTAGTTTGCAACAACAACTGCTGCGGTTGAAGTTTTGCTGCTATTTGTATATCGATCCGGGTAACCTATAAGGAATGCTGAACTGAACACTTTTTTTAATCTAGGAGATATATTGTTCTCGTTACGCTGTTTATGTCTAGTGATATCGTTCATTTCTTTTTTTTTTATTTCGTACTGTTCAGTTACTATTCGCCCATCTCCACTAAATGCAAGTACGGACTATCCTACCCAGCGATTGAACTCACGATCGCTATATCACCAAATTCACAAACCAACGCTTTTGTCTACTAGGCAATTGTCCTGCTATTACAGCTGCTGCTGTCAGGTTTTTATTACTGCGTCTTTCTTTAATATTAATGTTTGGTAAGGCTTTGTCTAATATTTTTTTAAAAATGAAAGTGAAAGTAAAAACGTGTCAAAATTAATGTTTTGCAATGCTTATCTTATTGAAAATAAAATAAAAATTACGATAAAAGGAAATAGCAGTCAAACATTAAAAATAATGATAGACACGGGATCGTTTAATTAAATATAAAATAATCATGAATCGCAGTTTTACAATTAAACATATGCTATTGGCTTTCTTTTTATTATTGTAATTGTTCGTTTCAATTTATTTCGTTATATGCTGAGGTCAAATTTTAATTAAAATTACATGAAAATATTTTGCTGAATACAGCATTTATTTAGAAAAGAAACATTTCCATAGTGAGAGCTGTTTTGAACTGAAGGCACACTGCAAATCCGTGCGATTTCTCCTCTACGTCATGACTGCTCGTTTCTGAGTGCTTTATTGCATGTGGTTTAAATAAAGTGAACAAGATTTAAGAACTTGATTAAGCCGTTGTCCTTCCTGCCTCTCCCCCAAGAACCTCACTTAGGGATATTTCTTAGGCTAATGTAACGCTACACAATAACAGTCTGACTTCTATGGCTGCTGTGCTTTGTATTAGTAAACATTAGAAAAGTAGTCCCCCTTAAGTTGAACAATCTGCATCATTATCATCAGAAAAAAAAACTCTCTCAACTTGAAGGCATGCTGCAAATCAGTGGCATTCCTCCTCTTAATCAAGGCTGCTAGTTCTCAATTGTGGTTTGTTCTGGTTTAAATAAAGTGAACAATAATTAACTACTTACGAATCCATCTCTTCTCTGTGCAGTGATGTGTAAAATACCAGATCTAACTGGTGTCTAAGGTTTATTGTGCCTGCTTTCTTAATAAATCTACCATATGGTGTTTATTTCTACGCTAGGCCTACTGAGGTTATTGGGACCTCGTATATGTGCTGCTTCTTTCAAATCTTTCATTTTCCAGTGTTGTTCTTTGTTCTGATTTTGTTTTCCTTCGGTCCAACAATCTTCAGAACTGTTTCTACTTGAAGGCACCCTAAAAATCAGTGTGATTTCTCTTCAGTAATTTTTGTAAATAACTCCTATCCGTTGCTAACTTCTGAAAATGCCACAGTTCATCAGCACCGCTCATAGTTGGGTTTTTTTTCACAGGAAATGGCGGAATTTTATTGATAGTTCTTTTATGCCATTATTTATGGTTGCTATGGTTACTATGCATGTGATTATTTCAGTTGATAGTGATGAAAACAAATGAGCCTTTTCTTGGCTTGTATTATTGTTTTGAAGATAATAAAGATTTTTTGGTGCAGCTCCTGGTAATTAATGCAAAGCAGAGAAGAAATATATATGGATTCATATTTTTCCGAAGTGTATTTGCATGTAAATGAATATAAAGGACCCGACTGTGATAAGAACACGGCTACCCGATCTCTTAGTCTGAGCCGTTATCCATTAAACAAACAGCACACCCAAGCTATTCCCAAAAGGTCAACCATCTAGGTACTGACAAGGCTCGACGTTGCTTAACTTCGGTGATTGTACGTGAACCAATGTTTTAACGTGATATGGACAGAAAGAAAAGAAAAGTTATACTCCACAACGCTATATTGCAATCGGTATCTTAAGTGATTCACATGGAGAAATAGTATAGTGAATAGTGTAGAGAATAGCGTTCCATATAGTAACAGAGGATAGTGTAGAAATAGTGATCCGAATAGTAATAGAGGCAAAACTAGAAATGACGATACATATAGTATAGAGGATAGACTAGAAATTGCGATCCGAATAGTATAGAGGATAGACTAGACATTGCGATCCGAATAGTATAGAGGATAGACTAGACATTGCGATCCGAATAGTATAGAGGATAGACTAGACATTGCGATCCGAATAGTATAGAGGATAGACTTGAAATAGCGTTCAATCTAGATTACACGCGACTTCCTACTTACGCGTTTCCTCTATGGTCACGTGGTCTACTTAACTCAATAATGTAACCGCCCGTGAAACTGAAGTGTCGACAGCGACATTTTATTTCTATATAACACCCCCCCCCACCTTTGAGATGACTTCCTCCTCTGGAGTTTATATTTCTTCAGCTCCGGTTCATTATTGAAATGTCCCGTTGCTTTTCTTTTTTCCTTACTGTACCTCATTGGGTCACTAATATCCCATATTTTAATGGAATCTCTCTGAAATCTGGGAAAACACCATGCAAAGATATTTGAGTATCCCAGGCATTGGAAGGGCACAAATGTTGAAATATTTGTTATGAATAATAATAATAGTTGTCTCCCCTTGTTTTGTTACTCTCCTCTTTGAGAAAGCTATTTCTGTTTACTGTGACAATGACAGGACACTATACCTTGTATTATCAGTTCAATAAAGCTTTCTGAAAGGCTAAACCTGCGAACTTTTGCCAGTACAATATTATTACCTCGTAAAACTTTGAGGGAGCATCACCTGTTTGGCATTCTTTCTCTTAACGACGGCAGTTGCTTTGCCAGCGATTGGCCTGTAACTAATATCTGTTTCTCTTTTTTTCCTCTAGGATTGCTATTAAAACTACTGACACATCTGCTTACTTTGCTTATATCAAGTGCAGCATTTCGATAAACATTCGCTAATCAGCTGTGAATATTTGCAGTACATTCCCCCTCCCTAAAAGAAAACCTCTATTATAGTTATTTGCTTTCTAATTGAAAACCATTTTGCTTTCTAATTAACTGACATTTTGAAAGAGGCTTATGTATTGGAGGAGAGTGTATAACTTCACTTGTATTACGTTGTCATCTGGAGACTTCACAGTATATAGGGGGAAATGAAATAGAATGTCTGGCTAATATTTTTAACAATAAGAAATAATTTCTTTGTGCCTTTTTGGTTTATAAACAAGAAAACCTAATTTGCAATATATTTTGCGAAGGATTTGGCTAATTGAATTGTTAATGATTGTGCCAGTTGTGGATAAATGAATCGCTGATTGACTATTCCGCGGATGGTGAGGTAGTATTTTGCATAAAATAACTGGAATAAAAGCAAGTTTTGATGTTTATCTTTAGTAGATCTTACCCAGAACATAAACAAAACTTTTACTTGTAATTTTGTTTTCTGTTTTTAAGCTATCTTCCCTTTCTTTCTTTCTTTCTTTCGTTTTTTTTTTTTTTTTTTTTTCTTCGGTCGAATATTTTCACACATTGGAGAAATTTGGATATTTTTCCTTCTTTCTGTCTTTCTTTTTTTTATCGGTAGAAATTTTTCACACTAAATTGGAGAATTTAGTATATATATTGTCTTTTATTTTCTTCCTTTTTTTTTCTTTGTTTCTCTCCCCCCCCCCCGTCTCTCTCTCTCTCTCTCTAATTCTTTCTTTCTTTTTTTTCTTCGGTCGATTTTTTTCACACTTTACATTATGAGAATTTGGTATATATTTGTTCTTTCTTTCTTTCTTTCTTTCTTTCTTTCTTTCTTTCTTTCGTTTACAGTCTGTCTTTCATTCTACATGCAGTTATTTAATTCTCTCTTTCTCAATCATTTTTCTTTCTTTCACGGCATTTCTATTGTTCTTTCTCAATCTTTCTTTCTTCTTTTTTTCATTGCTTTAGTCTTTTTTTTAGTCGATTTTCCTTATTTTTTTCTTCGGAGCCGATTTTCTTTCATTCTACATCTCCAATTTTTACCTTTCAATCTATTCTTCATTCTTTCTATTTTCGTTCCTCAATTTTTAATTCTTTCTTTTACAAAAAGACTATTTATCATTTTTTCATACTTATTTCTTTATTGCTTTTTGCTTTCTTTCGTCCTTTTTTCTTTTTTTCTCGCCTTCTTTCTCAGTCTGTCTGACGTCATTTCCTTCTTTCCTTCTCCGTTTATCTTTCATTTGTATCTTTCTTTATTCATTTTTCAATTTATCTTTACTGCCTGCATTCGTTCCTTCTTATTTATTTACTTATTTCTTTCTTACTCCTTTCTTTCTTTCTTTCTCATTCGTTTCTATCCCATCTGTTTTTCTTTCGTTCGTTCATTCGTTTGTTTATCTTCCTCAATCTATCTATACTTCCTAATTCATTCTTTCTTCTCTCTTTCTTTCTTTCTTTCTTTCTTTTTTCCTTCCTTCTTTTTCGTTTTTCTTTCTCATTCTTTCTGAACACATCTTTTGTTCTTTCTTTCTTTCGTTCGTTCGTTTATCTTTCTCAATCTATCTATATTTCCTAATTCTTTCTTTCATATTTCTTCCTTTTTTTCCTTATTTTTTTCGTTTTTTTCTCATTCTTTCTGAACTGATTTTTTCTTTTTTCTTTCTTTCATTCTTTCTTTCTTTCTTTCTTTCGTTCGTTCGTTTATCTTTCTCAATCTATCTATATTTCATAATTCTTTCTTTCATATTTCTTTCTTTTTTCCTTTTTTTTTCGTTTTTTCTCATTCTTTCTGAACTGATCTTTCGTTCTTTCTTTTTTCTTTCTTTCTTTCGTTCGTTCGTTCGTCTATCTTTCTCAATCTATCTATATTTCCTGATTCTTTCTTTCATATTTCTTTCTTTTTTCTTTCTTTTTTCGTTTTCTCTCATTCTTTCTGAACTGGTCTTTCGTTCTTTCTTTCTTTTTTCTTTCTTTCTTTCTTTCTTTCTTTCTTCGTTCGTTCGTCTATCTTTCTCAATCTATCTATATTTCCTAATTCTTTTTTTCAGATTTTTTCTTTCTTTTTTCCTTCTTTTTTCGTTTTTTCTGATTCTTTCTGAACTGATCTTTCTTACTTTCTTTCTTTCGTTCGTTCGTTTGTGTATCTTTCTCAATCTATATTCCCAAATTCTTTCTTTCATATTTCTTTCTTTTTTTTCTCATTCTTTCTGAACTGATCTTTCTTTCTTTCTTTCTTTCTTTCTTTCCTTCGTTCGTCTATCTTTCTCAATCTATCTATATTTCCTAATTCTTTTTTTTCATATTTCTTTCTTTTATCCTTCTTTTCTTCTCATTCTTTCTGAACTGTTCTTTCGTTCTTTCTTTTTTTTCTTTCATTCTTTCTTTCATTCGTTCGTCTATCTTTCTCAATCTATCTATATTTCCTGGTTCTTTCTTTCATATTTCTTTCTTTTTTCTTTTTTTTTTCGTTTTCTCTCATTCTTCTGAACTGGTCTTTTTTCTTCTTTCTTTTTTTCTTTTCTTTCTTTCTCCTTTCTTTTCTTTCTTAATTTCGTTCGTCTATCTTTCTCAACCATCTATATTTCCTAATTTTTTTTTTCTTTTTTTCTTTCTTTTTTCCTTCTTTTTTCGTTTTTTCTGATTCTTTCTGAACTGATCTTTCTTACTTTCTTTCTTTCGTTCGTTCGTTCGTTTGTGTATCTTTCTCAATCTATATTCCCTAATTCTTTCTTTCATATTTATTTCTTTTTTTTCTCATTCTTTCTGAACTGATCTTTCTTTCTTTCTTTTTTTCTTTCTTTCTTTCTTTCTTTCATTCGTTTGTCTATCTTTCTCAATCTATCTATATTTTCTGATTCTTTCTTTCATATTTCTTTTTTCTTTCTTTTTTCGTTTTTTCTCATTCTTTCTGAACTGGTCTTTCGTTCTTTCTTTCTTTTTTCTTTCTTTCTTTCTCCCTTTCTTTCTTTCTTCGTTCATTCGTTCGTTCGTTCGTCTATCTTTCTCAATCTATCTATATTCCCTAATTCTTTCTTTCATATTTCTTTCTTTTTTTTCCTTTTTTCTTTTTTTTTCTCATTCTTTCTGAACTGATCTTTCTTTCTTTCTTTCTTTCGTTCGTTCGTTCGTCTATCTTTCTCAATCTATCTATATTTCCTAATTCTTTTTTTCATATTTCTTTCTTTTTTTTTTTCTTTTTTTTTTCATTCTTTCTGAACTATTCTTTCGTTCTTTTTTTTTTTCTTTCATTCTTTCTTTCTTTCTTTCATTCGTTCGTCTATCTTTCTCAATCTATCTATATTTCATGATTCTTTTTTTCATATTTCTTTCTTTTTTCTTTCTTTTTTCATTGTTTCTCATTCTTTCTGAACTGATCTTTCGTTCTTTCTTTCTTTTTTCTTTCTTTCTTTCTTCCTTTCTTTCTTTCTTTCGTTCGTTCGTTCGTCTATCTTTCTCAATCTATCTATATTTCCTAATTCTTTTTTCAGATTTTTTTCTTTCTTTTTTCCTTCTTTTTTCGTTTTTTTTTATTCTTTCTGAACTGATCTTTCTTACTTTCTTTCTTTCGTTCGTTCGTTCGTTTGTGTATCTTTCTCAATCTATATTCCCTAATTCTTTCTTTCATATTTCTTTCTTTTTTTTCTTCCTTTTTTCTTTTTTTTCTCATTCTTTCTGAACTGATCTTTCTTTCTTTCTTTGTTTCTTTCTTTCTTTTCTTTCTTTCTTTTCTTAATTTTTCTTTTCTTTCTTTTTTTCATTTCTTTCGTTCGTTCGTTCGTCTATCGTTTTCTTTCTATCTATATTTTTTCTAATTCTTTTTTTTCAAATTTCTTTCTTTTTTTCCTTCATTTTTCTTTTTTCTGATTTTTTCTGAACTGATCTTTCGTTTTTTCTTTCTTTCCTTTTATCTTTTTTTCTTTCTTTTCTTTTTT